CAAGCATCATCTGGCGTTGAAAATATGAAGTGTAGTCGCCTATAGGGAAAAAGTGTCTGACAGCTCCACTCTGCTTGTCAAAATAGCATTTGCCTCATAATCTGCGATTCATATGCCCAAACAGCTAATTGCCAGAAAAATGCTACTGGAGACTACTCACTAAAGCTTAGAACAAAAGGAGGACAAAGAAAAAAACCTTAAGTAGGGTGATTTTTTAAAACTGTATTGAGCTGCTTAATGTATTTTCCTGCTAATACTAATCAAGCAGATTATTTATTATACAGAATATTTCACATTTGAGGAAAAATGATGATTAAAGATCAATTAATCTTTTCTTCCTGCCTTTTTCTGCATCTTCCTCCACCGTTTAAGAATCTTGCAACTGTTTCACTTTTTAAACAAGTCCTGGACTGTTGTTGCCTTTTTTCCAAGCTGGCTCCAGAAAGGCTGCCAACTGGAGTTTAAAGTCTAGTTAATTGCTTCAGTGCACTGACTTCCTCTTTGTATAGGGAGTGTACAGATATACACAAAATCCCAAGACAGGCTCATACCAGCTGTCATTTTAATACAGCTACCCTGTCAGCCAGTTTAGTAAAAACTAAATTCTGTATAAAAGAGAAAGAATTTTTAAAATTCAGGGACTGCTGTATTTGTTACTTATGTAATGATATAAACATAAACAAACTATACAATGATCAGGGTACTCGTGCAAAATCCAGGCCAACGACTGTCTGGATTTTAAGGTGAAATACTCAAGAGAGAAAGTTAGTTTTCAGAAAAGCAAGATAATTTAGAGGGCTCCCAGTTTTCCTAGCTGTCTGATCCTGGCAGTTGAGAGGCACCCGTGGCTCTCATTAACCACAGCAGGAGTTAAGGATGCTTAATAACTCATAAATTACAGACATCATTCTGTGCCTGTATGTACTAATCTACTGGGATTATGTTGAACTCTTGTCTGTAGCAGCTCAAGATATGAGCAGGATGGTTAAGCAGTGGAACAGATTACCTAGCATGCCCATGGAAGCTCTGTTGCTCTGAAGTTTTAACTGCAGGTTACACAAACAATTTCTTTGGAATGGTTTGCAAACATGAAAGATAATCCCTCTTCGAGCAGGGGGTTGGACTAACTTCGGGACCTCCTGAGATCCCCTTCCACTCCTATCTTTCTATGATTCTAAGATATACTACAAGAGGAGAACATAGGTTTAGAGTAATTACAGGGTTAGTCTTTTTATATGTGAAGCCCAGGTAGGAGCAGGACTCCCAAATTACCAGATGGGGGCTTCCCTCATTTTCCATAAAGTGGCAAGGTACAGGAATGCAGTTTAGACAGGGAATTTCTTGGAGCATGTGGGACAACTAAACTTTTGCCTGTGCCCTCCTATTTTATGTTAATTCAGGCTAGGCCACCTATAAATGTGTGTTTGGATTTTTTGATGGTACAACAGAAAAACACTTATTCCAATTATACACACCTGTATTAAATTGGTTATCAAAGAGCAGATCCAATAATCACACCAAAAATGAATTAGCTTCACCACCACAAAGAGGGGAGTAATGGTAGGCCTGAAGGAGAACAAACTCAGGTTGTCACAGACCAAATGGATTCCAAAGGCTTCTCACCAAATGTCTTCTTTGGTCCTTAAATACTTCAGAATAAAGGTCTGCATTATCAGGAGCCAGGCATTAAAAAATTATCTTCAGTGAGGGGATAGAAGAATGGGATACAGGTTGAGTAACAGACTCTTAACATTTCAGCTGAACCACCAGGAATGTACTTATCAGTAACCTAACCAAGTTCCCTCTCCACTCCACCCCTCTTGTTCTACTTCCATTCAAGATATCACACCAACATGTGAAACAAAAGGGTATTTTCAGGAACCAATTTATAACCCTGAGACTTACAAATGAAAGCAAAAAATCTTAGCATGTTGTACCTTAAAATATATATTATATCTATTCTATCCACTATCCTCAGGACCTTGGAGGAATTGCTGGTCCTTGTGACCTTTTTTAATTAAAGAAATAAAAGGATATTTAAAAAGAGGGTGGCGAGATGGTGGGGAGAAGTTGCTGGAATCCATCCAAGTCTTAGCAGGGAAGGGCTGCTAGATTTATATTAGATGAAATCATAAATCTTCATCCACCCTTTGCAGAGCACTAATGCTAAAAATAACTACAATGCCTGCGGGATTTCAACATTTGGATTAATCAAGTCTTCTGGTGCTAGAGGGAAAAAAGCTATAGGAACAAAGTGCCGGAGGATTTCTAGGCCAGAGCATTCAGGCAAGGACGCAGCATCCAGAGAATGAACTGCCATTTGTTTCTGGTTCAGGCAGATGTTCCAAGAAGATTACAGCACAGAAAGCGGGAAAAAACACCCTTCAGTCACAAAGCAATCTGATAGAAAAGGAAACAGAGATATGGGCCAGGGTAGAGGAAAGCTGTCAACTATCGCAAGAAAGCTCAATTAATATGAATGTTAGGATAGCAAATATTTTCATTCGAGTGTATGAACAAGTGTGGAGCATTCAGCATCTAGATGCCCAGACAGATTTCTTCTTGCTGTTTCATACAAACACATACTTTGTAAACTGTGGTAGTACTAATAAATGATCAGAATCTGAAGGGAAATGCAGAGATTGTCAGGAAACAGCAGGGGAACAAGAGTGCATAAGTTTAAAGATTAGGAAAGACCTACTGGATCATCTAATCGATCAACCCTGGCCGCTAAATTATGCTATTTTTTGATCCTGCTTTATTTTCCATGAACGAAGTAATGGGGCTCCCCTTGAGAGGTTCTTATATTATCTAACAGATTTCACTGCTTTGAAATTCTTCCCCAATGCTTGGCTTAAATCTGTTTTCCTTTAGCATTGTTCCTTAAGACCTTGGGCAGTTTCTTGTCTGAATCATCACAGTAAAAAAAAACAAACCTGCTGAAGTATATACACATTAGGGATTTAGAAACCTCCTCCCTGTCTCTCACAAGATTGTTCAACAGCATTCCAGTTTTTGGCTTCCCCTCCTAACTTCTCACTACCAAGCCCTCAGATGAAGCACCACAGCATCATCATCTGGCATTTCCATTACTATTTTTTGTCATGCTAACAGGTATGGTAAACTCTTGTTATTTGCATAGTCTTCATCTCCCCCTACCAACAAAATCATAGGATGAATATGCTAATAAGAAAAGAAATGAAAAGCAACTAAAAGAAACAAAACTGAAATGAAACAGGAAGCATAACTCCCAAACATAATATGAACACCAAACTGTAAATCTCTCCATGTGTTTTTTTGTCAACACTTAAAAAATCACTGGTAAATAAATAAAAAATGATAACTGCTGTTCAATCCCATTTTATGCCCCGCTGTGCCGTTACACTTGACCATGTGCTTACAAATAATGAACAGAAAATACTACCTGTAACACAGTTTGCTTGCTCATTCACTCCCTCCCTTTCTAATATGCTGCTATATGAATGAACATGGCAGTTACTGACAAGAAACACATTAAGTATGCCTCAAAGAAGTGAAATGTGCTTATTAATTTGAAACAAAAAGCCATATAATCATTTGCTAGATTACAAAAATGTTTCATAATTTGAAACATTATGATAAACTGCCTGTTGTGAGAAGAAATCTTTTTCCACGTACTGCTCAATCTCTGCATTATTTTATTAGCAGATCTTTGGCTTTCTTTTTCTGGTTTCAGCTCATACAATAAGCCAGAACATTGTACAAGCCAACATGGGAATAAATTGATTGAAATGTAATTGAACAGATAAAGATTTTTGTCCAATGGGAGAGCATGCAAATAACTGAAATGCAAGCAAAATCTAATGGATTATTGCAGTTTGCAGTTTTTATTCTAGTGTAGATTTGGGAAGGAAGTATTTGAGATGTTACACTGTCCCTCCCCTTTCAAAGACAGTCTTCCAGGAACACTGTAATCTTTACATCTCTTGACTAGTCTCCTTGTCATTTGGCCTCTTAACACAGTCTCCAAAATGCTCTTAGTTATTCTGAACCATCATTTGGATGAAAGAAGTAAGAACAGTGCCTTATTTTCCCGATAGGACACACTTCTCTGGTTCTCTTTAGCTACAGTATATCTTGCATTGGATGTTTCACAAGCTATTTTCATCCTTTTTGGCATAGATGTGGGCCTCTAAGGCAAACACTGCTGTAAGGAAAAATTAACAATTACATGTGTTTGCAGTTCAGGAAAAACAATTACCAATTGTATGCTTAAAAGTAAAAAAATAGAGGGAGAAGAAGTATGACTTACAACTAGACTCTTTAGTGTGTTCTACATTTTGACTGATGAATTGAGGCCTTATACAGATGTTCAGTTTCTCTTGGGAGAGTCACTGCTCTCCCAGGGGAGACCACAAGTGTAGAGATGTTCAGGCTTTTTCACCCAGAGTAAAAATGGCTGCTCCAGAACAAAATAACCTAGGAACAACCAGGGTTAAATCACACCCAGGTGTTTCTCCTGGGAGAGCAAATGTCGATATATGTATATCTGTCTCAGAAGAGAGAACACAAAACTTCCAAGGGAGTCAGTCTTTCACTTGCTGGACTCTGAGGAGCAGAACATGACCCCCTTTGCAATCTTCATATTGTGCTGCACAGCCAACCAGGACTACTGTATGAGTTGCTGGCATTTGTTGCCAGGCTGAGTAAGGGAGCCTGCAAAGCATGCTGAGATGTGTGCACAGAGTTCCGCCTTGGCTTCACAGTATCAGCAGACATTGCAAGAACTCTGTTCTTCAGGGCCGCAGCATTTCAATGTCTGTAAATGTGGCTCTGGGCAAGTTTCTCTACCAGGAGAACAAATCTGGGAGAACTCTCCCAAATTATTGTAATGTGTGTATGCAGCCTTAATTAGATCTTAATAATCAAATAGACATTAACAATAAAATGTATTTAGATCAAGAAGGATGAAAGGCAGGAGACAGCCAGCATGCAAACAAGTAATCATTTCAGTAACTTACTTTAGGGTCTGTGCACTTGAACTTTAACCTTTCCACCATCTCCAGCATGGCCACCTTCAGGTCAACGGGTTCTCTATTCTATAAGAAAGAGAGGACAGAGGTCACTCATTTTAACTCCACCAAGCACAACAAAGATTTTCACAAGACAAAAAGAGGCAGCAATTTTTCAGCTAATTCTAATGGGTAAGGTGCAGTGAACCCATGAATACATTTGCCCACTGTTGCAAGACTGCTTTTGCTCAGGCAGAAGACTCAAAGGAAAGAAAAGAAAAATGGGAGGGGGGGGCGGGGGAAACAGCCGCCAAGAAAACTGGGAGAACTATTGGAATGAAAATTATATGCAATTGCACAGGCTGACTCATTCATTGCTTTGTCTCCTGGCTCAACTGCATTCAAGTTCACTGAAATAAGGCCTAATCCTGCAAAGTGTTCACAGGCCCCAACCATCACTAAAGCTAATGGCTCAACAACTTGCAGGAGGCACTCAGCAGTTTTCAGGATAGGACGCTTGCAGAGGTTATGCAGGGAGGGGGCAGCCGGGAACCTCATTACATTTATTTTCCGGAGTGTGCACTTGTGGCCTGATAATTTAATCTGGCACTTTTTATAGTTCCATTTATAAAAAGAGAACAGAGAAAAAGATTAAAAAAGGAAAGAACTAATTAGGGACGCAATCAAGGGTTCATACTTTAGGAGAAAAAAGTAAAGTGAAGTGCTAAGCACTTATGGAACCCCTGTAATAGTCATTTCCTTTGCTTCAACTGTTCTCTGGGAAAAAATAAGTTACACTTCTTATTCAACAGATAAGAGCCTAACGACAAATATAAGAGTTTATCAAGTCTGAAGGAGGCTCACTCCAAGAAGCTCGTCATACTTATCTATAGCATTTAACAGAACGGCTTTTAAAAGATTCACTGCTGATAACAATTATAATTAAGAGATATGTACACTAAAATATGTTTTAAAGTGTATTGTGTGGATGCTTATCATATCAGTTATGCTTATGCAGACAAAACATAAGTGCCTGAGGTAGTGCTAAACTAAGTAGAGCTTTCGAAATGCCAGGATGTGCCTAGCAAGAAATGTGGCTAAACTTCAGGCTTACAAGATATGGGCAGCTGGTTTTGCATGGCCCATAACTCACTTGCTTTCTACAGAACAAAGATGAACAGAAGAACATTACTCAGATTATATTAAACCGGGTAGTTCTTGGAATACAAAAACCACTGAATGGTTTTGGAAAATTGGGTATGCAATAAACACTGTCAAAAAAGTGACCTAATAACTGGTACAACGTAAAAGGTCCTGATGAGATCTACAATAAAAGTTTATGTAAAATGCAATATATGTGCATGCACACATGATCACATATGTAAGCTGAAAAGAAGAAACTACAGCAATACAGGACCCCCGAAGAGGAGGCATAACAATGGATCTGATGAGGGATGAGTCAACCTGCCCTGAGATTGGACAACCTCATTTTCCCTATCCATTTCACATAAAGGATGCAAGAAGCTCTCTTTATGCTCCTGGGCAGAGGCCAACCACAATCCCAGTATAAGTGCTGGAATGGCTTCAGGACGCTCAGTTAAGTGGTATTTTCTTGGAACTGGAATCATTTTTATTTCTCTGACTCCACCCCCCCACTGCTACTCAGCAGCCATCTTGTGTCTTCTTTAGGACCACTGGCCAGAGGGCCCATGTTACCAAACACAAAAACATAGATGGGCTTCAGAGCCAAGAGATGGACACAACACTGTCCACTACCAGGAGCCAGTAACACCTACTGACAGAACCCGCAGCCAATTGGAAAAGCAGGAATTACTCTATTCTAACAACTCCTTTGGTCCATCAAGAGGGCAAGAGAAGCAACACCAGTGCCGCTCCCTCTCCACCCCGGCACTCAGGGCTCTAGATCAGGGACATCAAAGACATGGCCTACCAAGTCCTATCATCTGGCCCCAGTGCTGGTCGTGCATCTCAGAGTTGACCTGCAGGCCGCTGCTGACCCTCCAGCAAGCACCTGCTTCTCATCAGATCAAGCAGTGTTGCAGGGGGGCCAAAGTAGGACCATGCCAAACGCAGCATTCACACTGGTTGCTCCAAAACATATGCTGGGTCTCACATGCAGGGCCAGCCTGTGGGTACGATCTGGCCTGCAGACTGATCCCATGTCACTTACCCAGCCCATGGGGTCAGCTGAGTGTGGCACTCCTATGCAGTTAGTCCCACTCCTGCATGGCTAACCCCACAGAGGAGGACCCAATATTGGAGACAGGCCACACTGTGGCACAAACGTCACTGAGTGCAAGATTGATTCCATGCAGGGGGCTAATCATAATCCCAATCTTGCCAATCCACAAACCTAGTCCAGACCTCATGGAATTTGATAATGCTGATACAGAACCATCCAAAAGATTCATAGATTCATAGACGTTAGGGTCGGAAGGGACCTCAATAGATCATCAAGTCCGACCCCCTGCCTAGGCAGGAAAGAGGTAGGGGAGAGCACCACCTCCCTTGGGAGCCCGTCCCAGACCTTGGCCACTCTAACTGTGAACTGTGAAAAGAGGGAAAGCAAGACAGAAAAATGGATGAGTCCCAAAGGACATCAACATCCCTCCCAACTAAACAGTTGGCCCAATAAAAGAAACCACATATTTAAAAATAAATAAGCAAACTTTGCTTCTTCACAAGGTATGGCAGCACAATGGAGCTTTTTGCCTTATGAAGCTCTGAACCAGATTCCTCCAGGAGCACAGATGCCAACAAGATCACCCCTAAGCTATCTCCATTCAAGGACCTTTTCAGGTACTTTCACTGCTGAGAGGTTTCCTTGAACAGCCCAAAACATGTATCACAGTGTGTCCTGTAACCAAAAGATACTCCTCCACTTCAGGAAGTTTCTCTTAACTTACGTTCTTTCCTCCTCCCTTCCTCCACACCACTGGGATAGCTGCACCAAAAATTTCACCTGCTTCCAATATTTATTCTTCACTTCGAGGCTAACTAGTGTCAGTCAGCAGAGTTTCTAGGTGTTGTCCAAAACGGAGAATACAACACAACTGTTTTCTCGGCAATCAATCGTGACATAATAAGTTCAGGATTAGGATTCTGAGGGAGGCATATGGAACTCTTAAAATGAGGTACTTAAACATGATTGCTTCCAGAGAGTATTTTCCACAAGGCATCAGAAGTGTCCTAAGGGATTAGCTAAACACAAGACAGAAGGCAAAGTGACTTCGACAAGCCAAGTGGCATCCCTGTGGTCCATTAACACCTCCCCATAATAACTGATGGAGGCAGAAAAATACAAGGGTTTTTTTCCCCTCAGGTCTCAAGAGACGCTTGCAGACACTGAATGCAGAATCAGAAAGATTTTTGTGTAGACTGCTTTTGGAGTGAAACTTTTAGTATAACCTGCATGTCGTCCCACAGATTCTGATCCAGGTCTGAAATCTTAGGGTATGTACCCTGTATCTTTTGCTTCACTTGCCATGAGATTCTTCCACTCAATGGAATGTCATTTACATTATTTTTCAATAAGGTTACTAGAGTGTGGTTTGCGAGCCATACAAGCCTGGCTGTTGTGATTTGTCAAGGAGGTATTAGTGCATTCATGGGTATGCATCTATTCTCCCCAATCTTCTAATTTACAGGTATCCTTTCATCTGTTATATATGGCATGTTCTTACAGGAATGAGTTAAGTTTGTGCACACATTCGAAAAACAGCATGAGCCAAACTAATGCTAAAAATGTTTGTTACTCATTAAAGCATCTCCGCTGGAGATACAGAAGTGCAGCCAGCAATTTGAAGTTCGAACAAATACTACCCAATCTTATCCCTCCAGCCACCTCACTGAAATGTATCAATTATCTCCATGGTATGGCTGGCCTACCATTGCACAAAAATGGAGGCTCATCCTGCAAAGTAGAAAGCACCTGCACTTCCTATTGATTTCATTCAGCATTGAACACTCAGGACCTTGCAAGAGAGGGCCCCTACTTATACAGCAGGTGCAGTTTGCTGTGGAGTTCCTAGCAGGATGTCAATAGGAAGCATGACAAAGAAGAAGAACTTGCAATTTTAAGAAAGACAATGCTCTGAGAAAATGAAAGTACATACCCATCATCTGTGATGGGAATGGGAGCATCATGATTAGATTTTATTAAATATAAAGCATCTTCAGTTATTTCATTCTGTGACCTTTGTGACAAAGAATATGTCAACCAAAAAAAATTCACAAACAAGGAGGGAAATTCTGTGCTGCCCAAGGGGAAAAAAAGAGGGTGCATTCTGATGATCTCAGGCTGCTCTGCAGGCCCCCCCCTATAATTAGGCTTCCCTAGGGGCCTGTGTTATGGCAACATGGCCTGGACTTTGCTCTCCATCATAATACTCTCCAGGATCTCGGCAAATAGCAGCTTTGTCTGTACTACACCTTCCCAGACCCACCCTCAGAATACCCACCTACATAACAAGGGCTTATTAAAGAAAACTCAGGAGCCAGCCTTTTGGCTATCTGCACAGGACTGTCTCTTCAGGGAATACTGTCCCTCCAAGGCCAAGGGCTTTTAGAGAGCCCTTGTCACATCACTCAACTTTTTTAGCCAACACAAAGGGGCTGGAGCAGGTATGAGAATCTCACCCCTGGTTTTAGATAAGAGATGCTAAGCAGTCAGGCTTTAGTTCAAGTCTGAACTTTGGCAGTGTTCAGTAATCAGAGAATGCATTAAGGGAGCACGGGAGACCACAGAGCAAGGAGGGCTAAGGGACTGCAGAGGGGACAGCTGGCCCACAACTGTGGCAGGGTCCCAAGCACCAGCCCACCATGCCAAAGGCTCCTTCCTTTTGAATGAGAAGTCTATGGGCATTAGACATTGAATGCCTTTCCGAAGCTGAGCCTTAGTGTTCATTTAAGATACGAAACAGGCAGAGCAAAGAGAGCAGGCAAGTTTCCCCATACTGCCCCAGTCCAGATCAGCTGAAACTACCACCAGGGAGCTCACTTGTACTAGCAGCTTTCAGGATACAGCCATGGAGAACTGAACTAAGACCAAAGTGAAATCCCACAAGGCCAGTCATTGGGCAGCCATCTGATGGTAACAATTTTCAGTCATTACTGTTAAGGGACAGATGTACCACAGAGGCTGAAGGATTAATAGCTTATTACCTCTTGGATCATTGATCCAGTCTCTCTGATCCCAGAGAGGTTTAAAGTAAAGAACAGTCAAAGAGCAAGAGGAAGAAAGAGTGCGAAGTCTCTTTGCTAGCCATTTGGGCTGCTAAGGAACAAATAAACCTATTGTCAAGAAAGCAAACAGATAAATGGCTTCTAGTAATGAACAGACTTCTATTTTTTTTTCCACTGACTATTTTGGTATTTAGAAAATTAACACCATGGCTTTGCAAACCTCCCACAGTTCCTTAGACAGAGCAGCACTTTTCCTGGGATCTCAGGAAAACAACCATCAACGCTGGAAGGGAGGCCTAAAATTAGATTTACCAGCTGTGTCTTGGGTTGTCAGGGTACACTGCAGTTGCAGGCTATTGGAATATACAAGAATCTCCCAGTTTATAGCGCAAAGTACATTGCAGTCACCACCACACAGAAACAGAGCAAACAGCCTTAAGACAGGAGAGGGCAACAGGATGACAGACCACTACACCAAAGAAATCCAGCATTGTTATGACAGCCACTTGCTCAGGTAACATTTTGCTTCAAAATTTCCTTATATTATCTCCAACTGCAATGAAAATATTATTGTCTGCGATTAGAGGCACATTTCACCACATCCTCAAATGCCAGTGACCCAGCCCAGTTGTTTTTGTTTTTTTTTTAAATTTTCTGCACCCAGCTCCTCCCCCTCCAATTTATTTTTTTCTCCACCTCTTTCTCTATTTTTGTCTTTCTCTCTAGCTTTTCTCCTCATAGTTTTTCCACTCCCTAAACAGAAATATATATGCTGTTTAATAGGAAAAGATGGAGAAACAGATGGAGACGATAGTTCAGTGAGGCTAGCCCATACATGTTCTTGCAGCTGCCCCTAATGCCCAAAGAACAGAAAAACTAAACTTGGTTTAGCCAACTGTTTCCCGAGGCTGCAGTGCCAGACATAAGGATCTCGTCAGTAAAGTTTGGGTGTCATCAGTTCAGCTAAAGAAGCATGAGCACTAGCTCAAACTAAGAAACAGGTAGATTAATTTTAAACACCCTATTTTCTAACCAATCCAAGTCAGATCAGGTTTGCATGGCACAATGGTCAAAACAGGGACTATCTGTTGCACTACAAATGCCACTGCTACCTCTGGTAAAGCTCAACTAGCAGTAGCCATGATTGAAAACTTTCCTACAGTATGCAAGGTTTAAGCTAAAGGTAAATACTAATAATCATCAGAGTGCTTAGCTACAACTTCCCATTTGCAAATTATCTGCCGGGATCTATTTTGGACAAAAGGTAAAAGGCAAAGGAAATTATATAAATTAGCTATAATACAAGCTGGAGCGGCCTCTACCACATACAGCTGTCAGAAATACTACAAGAAAATATGGACCTAATACTTCTATTAAGGCTAATGGCAGACTTGCAGCCAACTTCAATGAACACTCAATAAAAGAAGCAGTATTTCTAATATCAATATATTTCGATAGTGATGGATTTGCACCAGCCTACTTGGTTTCCAAATAAAAAGTACTGTAATGGAACAGTTTAAATCAGGGCAATGGTATATCAGAGGCCCATGTACCCAGTTTATCTGAGTACTAGATATGTACACCAGTGTACTGTATAACACAGTCCCAATTTTGTTACTCATCTTGTAACAAATTCCAGTTATCTGCATATATATTAAATGCACAATCAGCTTGAGTGAATAGCATCTTTTAGCCCTGCTATCTGCTTCCTAACTATATACATTGCATTTTAACTGAAAGAGGGAGTGGGAAACAGGTGTCAAAGGACTGCTATTAGATGCCTTGAAAAAATGACACACTAGAGTCAACTTCATGGCTGCTCCCCTCTCTGTATCAGCAACCTTGAGAGTGACTAAAAAAGCTTCAAAAATGAGGAAGCTATCCAGTTTCAGGTCTGCTAATATTGCAACAGTGAAGGGCCTGTGTACTTAATAAGTGCTGCTTACAGAGCTGTCTCGTAACAGCCCTGGAAATGGACTGTGTCCCCACATTTTCCTTTATTAGCAGTTCTGGAACTATTATAGTAGCTTTGAAATAGTGTGCAGCTAGTCAGTTTTGGGGATGCTACTAGCACAGGGCTGTGTACTCAATGAACACCGAGTTCAGATAAACACATGCTCCAAATATATGCCTAGCCTCTTTTCAATCCAGAAGCTATGCACTTAACCATATATAGGAAAGCTTACCCTACGTTTACTGAAAATCCAGACACCAGACACCAAGACCTATGCCTCTGTTTTTTGGAGGAAAGTTGTGAACACACTGAAAGATAAATTTGCCTAATATTTTAAAGAAAAATTACACTTAGAATAAAGCTTGCAACAAGGATCATGCTTCGAAAAGGCAGTCTCCTGATACAACCACATGAAAATGCCATAACTAGACTCCATAAAACTTAGGAAGGAGTTGGGATCTGAACTTAATTATTTTTGTACTACTCTGCCCACTAAGAATCCTAATCACATGGTTGCACTCAGAGCCATCTAGTTTTTAGTGGTCACCTTATAATATCCACAGTTCACTCCTTAGAAACCTGTTGCCAGCAGGCATCCATTTTGATGTAAAACGTAGTACCTAAGGGCAGGCTCTACGTTATTGTACATAAAACAGCAAGACACAGAGCTTTCAGAAAATCAAACGGTGAGGTTCCTTCAGTCCAACTGTGTCAGAAGTAGACTGGTCTACATTTTGTTTCTTACAAATGATATACAACAGGGAATATAGTTATGGCTTTAGTGCACAAAAAAGCGGACAGAGGGGTCTTTTCCCACGTGGTTCGTAGCTGATGTGTATCAGCACTCCATCTTTTGATGTCAACAGATGTGCCCAGTATGAGGCCTATGGAAGAGGAAACTCAAGCCCAGGATGCCCAAGCCTTTTTAGATTGCTATCAAGGAATAATTCTAGGCCTGGCACGTGCACAGAGGGGAGGTGGCTTAAATCCCTTCCTCCTGTTTACTCACGGATGCAAGGTCCATTTTAGTCCCTGATACAAGCTACTGCTGTTGTGAGGATTATCCTGCCCTTCATTTTCCACTATCGTACCTCTGAAGAGACTCAGCAATGAGGAAGTGCTGCAGTGCATGGAAGTCCCAGATGACCAAGACTCGCTGCACCACTGGCCAGCTCCCCAAGATTCGGCCATTCCACAGAAGACACCAGCACCGTGGGTGCCTATAACACGAGTGCTGAGGCTGCTCCGATGCACTGGAATTGCAGTGCGGCAAAGCAGACTCAAGTAACCAAGTCTGCTGGAGTGTGGCAATTGCCCAGCTCCAGCAGCCTCCTGTGTCTCATGTATCAGCATCCCTACGCTTAAAAATGGTGGGGGGGGGGGTGCGTGCTTGAACTACACATTGTCAAATGAGCAGTAGTTCAAGCGCCCCTGCTGCCATTTTTAAGCACAGGGATGCTGATGCAGGAGAGGCGGCAAGCTTTAATTACAAGGGCTCTCGGAACAGCTCTAATTAAAGCACCACCCCTGCAACTGAGCATGTGTAAAAGTGCCCTGAGGCCCTTACGCCTGCACAAAGGGGCTGTGAGCCAACAGTGGATCTGACCTAATAACAATTCGACTGCCAAACCTTGCAGGCCTGGCTTGCCTTCCCAAGCTTTTAAACCCATGTTTCCAACAGCCATAAATGCAAACAAGAGACCCACTTTGGGCTTTCTGATCCATTTCAGATGACCACCAGTCACTGAATCGTGGAGAAGCTGGGCTGGCAGGGACCTCCACAGGTCATCTAGTCCAACCCCATCAGTTCAAACGTACAGCCATGAGTCCCCTTCACCACCCCGGTGCCTAGGGCTCCAAGGCTGGACTCCCCCCCCACCCCGGCACTGCCCTGGCGCCGGATGACAAAACCTGAAGATCTAGGAGGAGGGAAGGGAGGTTTCTCACCCTCTCCCCTGGGGTGGCTCAGATTCAGAGAGAAACAGACCGGCTGTGACTGCGGGCCCGCGGCCAGCCCTGCCCGTACACTGAGGGGGCGCGGGGCGCTCACCCGCGCGGCGCGGTACGCCTCGTCCAGCGTGACGAGCGCGTGGTGCTGGTGGGCGCCGCGCAGCGCGCAGAGCACGCAGATGATGGCCTCGTGCTCCCGGCAGTACAGGCTCAGCTCCTGCCCGTGCTCCGCGCACAGCTTCCGCTCCGGCTGCTTGGGCGCCTC